ATCACCATCATCATCATCATCATCATCATCAGCATCCCCATCATCATCATCATCACCATCATCAGCATCATCATCATCATCCACATCATCATCATCATCATCATAATCATCATCATCATCAGCATCATCAGCATCAGCATCATCATCATCATCAGCATCATCATCATCACCATCACCATCATCAGCATCCTCCTCATCATCATCACCATCATCGCCGTCGTCTTCATCATCAGCATCAGCATCAGCATCAGCAGCATCATCATCAGAATCAGCATCAGCATGAGCAGCATCAGCATCAACATCAACAGCATCATCATCATCATCAGCATCATCAGCAGCATCATCATCGTCAGCATCATCATCGTCATCATCGTAATCAGCATCATCATCAGCAACATCATCATCAGCATCATCATCAGCATCATCAGCATCATTATGATCATCGTCATCATCATCATCACCACCATCAGCAGAACCATCAGCCTCACCATCAGCAGCATCATCAGCATCAGCATCATCATCATAAACAGCTTCATCATCATCATCAGCAGCAGCAGCGCCAGCATCATCATCAGCAGCATCATCATCAGCATCATCATCATCAGCATCATCATCATCAGAACCAGCATCATCATATGCATCATCAGTTCCACGATCAGAATCGGCATAAGCATCAGCATCATAATCAGCATCAGCATTGTCAGCATCATCATCAGCATCATCAGCATCGTCATCACCATCGTCCCAGCATCATCATAAGTACCATCATATTCATCGGCATCATCATCCGCGTCATCATCATAATAATCATAATCATGACCATCATCATCGTCATATCATCATCATCCTCATCATCATCATCGTCGTCGTCGTCATCATCAGCATCATCAGCATCATCACAAGCGTAAGCATCATCATCCGTATCGTCATCATCATCAGCAGCATCGGCATCATCAGCAGCATCAGCATCATCAGAAGCATCAGCATACTCATCATCAGCATCATCCTCATCAGCAGCATCATCATAAGCACCATCATCAGCATCAACATCACCACCATCATCATTACCGTTACAACCATCACCATCACCATCATCATCGTCAGCATCAGCATCAGCATCATCATCATCAGCATTAGCATCAGCAGCAGCAGCAGCAGCAGCATCATCATCATCATCATCATCATCATCATCATCATCATCAACATTGTCATTCCTCTCCGCATGCTCCCTCTCCTCCCCTCCCCCTCAGCCAACCCCCCTCCGCCTCACCCAGTCCCACCCTCACTCGTTCACCGTGTCCCAATCCCCCTCGCGCCGTGCCTTCTCCTGCTCACCCTCAACCTATCCCGTTCCTAGTCAGTTCGAGTCGCCTCCTCTGATCACCATCGTCATCATCATCAACAGCAGCAGCAGATTCTTCATCAGCAGCATCATCATCGGCGTCAGCATCAGCATCAGCATCAGCATCATCATCACCAACAGTATCATCATCGTCATTATCAACAGCATCATCATCATCATCATCAGCAGCATCAGCAGCATCAGATTTAGCATCATCATCGTCATCATCACCATCATCGGCATAATCAGCATCACGATCATCAGCATCACCATCATCAGCATCGCCTCATCAACATCAGCATCATAATAGTAATGATCAGCATCATCGTCATCAGGAGCAGCATTCTTAGTAGCAG